ATACTAACCATTGAGGAGTCTAGTGTTGTTCCTCCTAGTTCCCCAGTCACAGGAACATCACTCTTGACTTATCATCGTCGTCTGTGCCCTACATCAGGCCCAACTGGTTCTCGTCCTGCACCTGACCCTGCTCCTACTGCGGAACCTGCTCCTAGTACACTGATTGCACTTCGAAAAGGTATACGGACCACACTTAACCCTAATCCTCATTATGTTGGTTTGTGTTATCATCGTTTGTCATCTCCCCATATTATGCTTTTATATCTTTTTTATCCTTGGTTTCCATCCCTAAGTCTATAGGTGAAGCGTTGTCTCATCCAGGATGGCGACAGGCTATGAGTGACGAGATATCTGCTTTACATACAAGTGGTACTTGGGAGCTCGTTCCTCTTCCTTCAGGTAAATCTACTGTTGGTTGTTGTTGGGTTTATGCAGTCAAAGTTGGTCCCGATGGCTAGATTGATCGACTTAAGGCCCGTCTTGTTGCCAAAGGATATACTCAGATATTTGGGCTCGATTACAGTGATACCTTCTCTCCTGTGGCTAAAGTGGCATCAGTCCACCTTTTTCTATCCATGGTTGCGGTTAGTCATTGGCCCCTCTATTAGCTGGACATTAAGAATGCCTTTCTTCACGGTGATCTTGAGGATGAGGTTTATATGGAGCAACCACCTAGTTTTGTTGCTCAAGGGGAGTCTCGTGGCCTTGTATGTCGCTTGCGTCGGTCACTTTATGGTCTTAAGCAGTCTCCTCGAGCCTGGTTTGGTAAGTTCAGCACGGTTATCCAGGAGTTTGGCACGACTCGTAGTGAAGCTGATCACTCTGTGTTTTATCGACACTCTACTTCAAGTCTATGTATTTATCTGGTAGTCTATGTTGATGATATTGTTATTACTGGCAATGATCAAGATGGTATTACTAATCTGAAGAAGCATCTCTTCCAGCATTTTCAAACTAAGGATCTAGGTAGATTGAAGTACTTTCTAGGTATTGAGGTTGCTCAATCTAGCTTAGGTATTGTTATTTCTCAAAGGAAATATGCTTTAGACATTCTTGAGGAGACAGGGATGATAGGTTGCAGACCTGTTGACACTTCGATGGATCCGAATTCTAAACTTCTGCCAGGACAGGGGGACCCGCTTAGCGATCATGCAAGCTATATGCGATTGGTTGGTAAATTAAATTATCTCACAGTGACTAGACCGGACATTTCTTATCCTGTGAGTGTTGTAAGTCAGTTTATGAATTCTCCCTGTGATAGTCATTGGGATGCAGTCGTCCGCATTATCTGGTATATAAATTGGCTCCAGGCAAAGGATTACTGTTTGAGGATCGAGGTCATGAGCAGATCGTTGGGTACTCAGATGCTGATTGGGCAAGATCACTTTCTGATAGATGTTCTACGTCTGAATATTGTGTTTTAGTAGGAGGACATTTAGTGTCCTGGAAAAGCAAGAAACAGAATGCAGTTGCTCGGTCTAGTGCAGAAGCAGAATATCGAGCAATGGCTATGGCAACATGTGAACTAGTCTGGACCAAACAATTGCTCAAAGAGTTGAAATTTGGTGAAATCAGTCAGATGGAACTTGTGTGCGATAATCAAGCTGTCCTTCATATTGCATCAAATCCGGTGTTTCATGAGAGAACTAAACACATTGAGATTGATTGTCACTTCGTAAGAGAGAAGATACTTTCAGGAGATATTACTACGAAGTTTGTGAGGTCGAATGATCAACTTGTAGATATTTTCACCAAGTCACTCACCGGTCCTCGCATTGGTTACATATGTAACAAGCCCGGTACATATGATTTGTATGCTCCGGCTTGAGGGAGAGTGTTAGATATAGATATGTAGTTGTCCCACATTGGAATAGGTGTAGTATGCCCTTTGTATAGAGTAGCTATAAATTAGCACATCTTGTATTGCATTAGACACACAATATCAATATATCATATTTTCTCCCGTGCCTTCTCACAGTCTCCTCGTCGGATACCACTCGAACCCAAAATTTCACATAGAGTAACCATTCAACAAGATGGAAAAATGATAACATAGTTATCTAGTGTCTTATCCCTCCTCAACATGCTCTCAAACCTCGTACTCCCTCCGTTCCAATTTATGTGAACCTATTTCCTTTTTTGTCCGTTCCAGAAAGAATGACCCCTTTCTAAATTTAGAAACAATTTAGCCTAAACTTATAATTCTACCCTTAATGAGAAGCTTTTATAACCACACAAATATAAGCTTTTATAACCACACAAATACTCCAGGCCCCTTTTTGACTTGTTTAGGACCACAAATTCCAAAAGCCTTCATTTCTTCTTAAACTCCGTGTCCGTATCCAGTCATACAGGTTCACATAAATTGGAACGAAGGGAGTACCTTTTTTACAATCGAGAAATACTAAATGACAAGTGGCACACAATTCAAAACTCAGAAAAAAATGGGTCCACCCTTCTATCCTTCTCCACTTAATACCAGGCTTTTGTCTACAGCAGGATTCGAACCTAGGGATTAACCACATGAAGTGTTGCGCTCTTACCACAAGACCAAAACCATGGGGGCCACACAAACCTCATTCTTTCAAACACATAAAATAAATTACCCTAATTAACACGACAATATGCTTTCTTAATAAAAAATTTGCATAAGCTTCTCACTTGCTAATCTCAAATCTGTCAATTCATTTGCTATATGAATTGCATCAAGTATTTGGTAGTGAAACTATGTCCTCTAAGATAGATTTACAGAAGTTCTCCACCTTGCCAATCCCTAATTGAGTTCAAGATCTAAAATTGGACAAGATGGTCGTGTTTTCTTAACCCTACAATAATGTTACATAGATCCTTAAAACTCTCTGCCACGCCTATGCTGATCCTGCATAATTTGGATGAGAAAGTATCGGTTACGCACTTGATTTGGTAAACTAACCTGGGTTGCTTTGACCACGGCTATTGCCAAGAAACATATGTTGGTATGGTCTTTGGTTTCGATTTACACACACTTTATGAATATTTTAAAGTAGAAAGTTCGCTATTACACAAAGTATATTCCTGGGATAAAAATACAAGGTATTAAAAAAGAAATTATTTATGCTAGTTTTTGATGAAGAATTTATTTATCCTAGTTTTAATTCAACAACTTTTCAATTAATTATTAAAATATATACATATATGTGTTATAACTTTCATTTATTAGCCACATTTCTCAACACTTACTGTACTCATATCCCTAATTCTTAATCCTAAGATCTAGGCAATAATGAACCTGTGATCTATAGGCCACGGGTTCGAATCGTGGAAGCAACCACTAATACTTACATTAGGTTAAGTTGTCTACATCACAACTCTTAGGGTGCGGCTCTTCCCCGACCCTGCGTGAACGCGGGATACCTTGTGCACGGGGCTGCTCTAATGAATTTGACATCTAAATCTGCACCTACACCGGATACCCACACCTGTGTTCATGTAACATAACCCTATAATACTTCACAGTTCAGACTTATACCCACCATTTTCACCCTTAGTCTGCTATGACGCCTGAACTCTAGAAGCTACTCTAAGTTGGTTTTACATCACGAGATAACTTGACAGTTGACACATTCTGATCACACCCCCTCAATTTAGAACAGATTAAGAAAATTACAAAATTACAGGATTATCCAATTAAGTATATTTAACCACTTATTCTAGTGTTAAACTAAGAAGCAAGGGCAAGTAATTGAATGGCAATTCTGGCACTTGCTTATTTAAGTAAGAGTTAGTTAGTTAAACAAAACAACTCCTTTCTCGAATTGCATTAGTACTACATTCCTAACTAGCTTCTCAATATATAAGTTATAACATTGGAAAAACAATGTGATACAATTGATTTTTTTCCTCTATCAAAGAAATGTGATAGAAGCCATGCTCACATTTAGTGAACAAGTTATACTTGGAATATAATGTGAGGATTAATAATCCAATAATTATTATCTCACATTGAGTGTGGTATAAAAATAATACACCAATTGTGGTACGAATAATCCGGCGATTGCTTATACCGGAATTAAAAAATGCAATCAAGCGCGGAATAAAATAATCCCACGTTTTATCCCGGGTTGTTACCCCTTATCCTTCTAATCTAAGAGTTGCAAATGATTCATCTATATGTGCATTTCACACAAACATATCCTAGTTCAACTCCAACAATAACAGTTTATCAATCTGGACCCACCAAACCCACTTAACTCAATAAAATTGATCAGTATCTCCCAAATAAATTTACTAATGGAAACGAATATCAACAGTAGTTCAGAACAACTCACATGTCCATGGTGAGTCTTCAATCCGCGATCTTCCACCCGACAATTGCCATCTATTAGAAGAGTCTTGACTGGAACCTAATGATCATGGCAACAACAGACATCAAACATTTAAGCGCTTTTATATAAAGCACCAGTTTAACAACTCCAAAATCACTGCATTTCAACTCCCTACACTAAGTTTGGATAATAATTACACAGAATATTAAGTCTGTAACAATTCAAATTAAAAGGTCAAGTAATCTGAATTCAAAGTCACAAAGTACTGAACAGATAACTATCAATTTCAAATTCAAAGAAAATGGAATTAAGGAAACTCACCACATTGTCCTGAGGCTTCTTCTTGTAATAGGCCAATAATCGAGTCTCAAGAACAAAATAGCGCATATGAATATAGGATTTCCCTATCTTCCTCCTCCCATACCTCACCATCCATCCCTCATACACCACTTTCGACATCTATAACTCTCCAATTATATATTTACACGTTTTCAGAATCCAAATTGTTGAAACAAAAAAAAAACTCCAGAAATTTTTAGAAAATCGGAAGACCAGTGGAATCCTCACTTCCGCCAATTCGATTAACACTATGGGTCATCATTATTGCAAATTTCTCCACAAAAAAAAAAGAGAATCTTCCAATCAATCCGCAAAGTTCAAATTTCAAATTCACTTACTGAAACCAAATGAACACTCCGAAATTCACTAGACGATTACAAAAATTTATTCCAAATTGATGATCGCAGCTAAAACAGTTCGAATCTCCTCAATTTGTGAAGGAAAAAAGAAGTTGCACGTAAAATGAGCTAATGTGTAAGTGCAACCTACGTGTCTTTACTTCAGATAGTCAAATATACGTGCGTGCACACACTTGTGGAGCTAGTGCATCTACTGGAGTATACAATCAGTACACACACAGAGGAAAGAGATACGACATATATATCTGTAGTTAGAAAGAAGGAGGAGGAGGGGCGGGGTGGGGGAGAGGCTCACATGATCTGCGCCAGCGCCACCAGAATTGCAGAGTAAAATGGCCGGCGAATGGAAGAGAGAAAAACAGTGGGAAGAATTGGGATTATGAAATAAGTAAAGTTTTACATAAAGAGGGTGTTTGGCCATTTTTAAAAATCAGTTTTACCGTTTAAAAATATTTTTAAACACTTCAAACTTATCATTTATTTACAATCAACTGATCCAAACGTATAGTACTTAGTACTGTAATGTTTTTATTTTCTTTTGAAAGCTCTTTATGTTTCTTTTTTATTTTATCGCATAAAGTTTCTTTTTTGGTTGGTGTATTCAGATAGAATTTGATTTTGATATCCATGGGACTCGTTTAAGCAACAGGTGCCAAGTCAACTTCAGCGTCCGATGGATATTTACTGGAAGGTGAGGGAATATGATCTGACAGACACTACTGTGATTGCCACGTTGTAATTGAGACACAGCTCGGTCATGATTGAGGGTCTTGGAGCGGAGGTGACGGTATATGGTTAGTTGTAAGCGTAAGACAAGTTGGCATTTTCCCAAATGATTGATCGGATCAATTGATTTTTTTAGCTCTTTACCAGCTTGTTTTTAAATTCATGACTCTACCTTTTTTTTATACATACGAGAGATTTACTTTTCCACATAAGTGATTTGCCTTTTACACATGAGAGATCTGAAAAGGATATTTTCTCCGATTCAAAATTGTAAAGGGGCATACATTACAATCATTTGTCCTTTTCTTCGGGTCAATTGGTTTTGTGGCACATTACAAATTTGTTTTTGGTTTTATGACCTCATCTCTTTTTTTTTTACACATGAGAAATTTGCTTTTGCACTGTGAGAGATCTATCTTTTACGCGTAAGAGATCGAAACAAAACATTTTCTTAAATTCAATATTGTAATAAGCTATTGAGGCCTAAAACTCTTTGCCAAACGACGATAATGTGCTTGATCTTTTGGACAAACGTTTAGTTTTCTGTCCTTTTCCTTGTTTAATAAATTGAACTTAAATTGAGATCTTCAATGAATTTTGTCGAATCATTCCCAAAGTATAATGTGAAGATACCATTTGTTATATAGGGTGCGAGGAAAGTCGCATTAGAACCTGTTTTACCTAGTCAAGGAATTAGTTAATCAGTTTGAACTTATATGTCATAGAGGACGAACAATTACATTTTTTAAGTTTCCTAAGACTGTGAGAATTAATGATATGTGTAATTATTCAAAAGTTAACTTTAAATTTTTGTTATCTTCATCTTTTCACACTACCTCCTGCTACTTTTTCCTCCATGCTAATTGCTACTTTTTCATCAATAATGGAGTATATGTTTTAGTGAAATGCTTGCACATCCCATGTCTATCTATTAAAATATTTGTTATTTTCAAAATGAAACAATTACTCACAACATATGTGTTTTAAAATAGCAGGTGCTAAATTAATTACAACACTTAGTTTAAATTAAAAATGATTCGATTGTTTAATTACTACTCGTGATACCAAACATGATGCACGGAATTACCAAGTAGGCTTTCTGAACACACACTTAAGAAAGCAAGATATCTTGAGCTTCAAAGAAAATTTTACAACTAATTACCGTCCGTTGCATTTAAGAAAAGTCGAAACACGTACATCTGCAATTACCCCCATCAAATTATTCTGTGCTTATTCCATCGTTATCAGCAAGTATCTTAAATCAGTAGCAACCCACGGATAGTCTACTTTTCAATGTCAAATTTACACTTAGCAGGCAAGACAAATGAATAATTTAAGAGCAGCATCTGAAAATGGTCATTCAGGGCCTTTCCCTACTAAAAAGAATATGGTACAAAAATGGTTATCCTACTGTAGATGTTCCTAACCATCAAGAGGCGCATGTGATTTCCTAATTTCTGACTGACCAGTCCCGGAAGCTGCAAAACCATAAGCTCCAGCAGTAGCAGCAAGGACAACAAATACCATGGAGAAAAGTTGAAAGTTTGCTAGCAACTCGCCTCGAACCTCGCTATCTGCTGAACGACACATGACGTCGTTCCCCTTAAGTTGGCAACCGTCTGGCATCATTGGACCATACAGAGTGAATGCAGTTTGGTAGAACCAAAGGCCTTGAAGTGTTACAGAAATGCCGCTAGCCAAGTCAACAGGGAAGCTGGTTGGCATAAGAGCTCCAGCGATAGTTGACAATACACAGAGGCCTATGAGGAGGACAAGGATAAGGTGATAGTACCCTTCAAGGCCTTTGTGGGTGGTGGAGTGGAAAGAGAACAAGAAATACTCTGCACAGAAAGCCGTGGCCACGATCAAGCAGAGAGCTCCATCAGGCAAGGGAAGAAAACTGCACGATGAGAGCACAATGTGTTGAGTTAAGAGCGTGATGGAATTGAAAAATCCAAGACAAACAGATAGCCATACAAATAAAAGTGTTCAAAGTTTGGCAGATAGTTTATTTATAAGTCCACATATACTGAGAACCCTTATCCAATAATTGAGGGTGACCGGGAAGTAGACCTACAAAAACCAATCATATGACTAATACAATGAATGTATGCAATGGCTACATCTTAACTAGATTTTTCCTCACTCACTAAATGATTATGAATTATGGAATATTTTGCTTCTTCTTAGTAAAGGGTACAGAAACTGTAATTGTAATCGCGCTCTGATTAATATCTAAGCTACTAACCAATAGTAAGATGACCAAATTACTCTCAAGAAATAAGCAATCATTGAGAAGGAGGAGAATTCCAACACATTGTATGATAGCACAACGAATTCATGAATATCTCAGTTAAATTCATGAATATCTCATTTTAACTGATTTTAGATGGATCTTTAACCTATGCATGTATAAATCCAAAACGGAAGGTTGGTGATGGTATGGTCCTCTAGTTTTTCTCTTGTTGATTTCAAATAAAAACTGATTCCAAAACACATCTTTGGAGCATGATTTCCAATTAGGATTGCATGAGTAGGAGGCATTCTAGGGAATCCAGACCCCTGTTCGGTAGACCAGCAAGAGAGATTCAACAATTATTGATGTAGGTGTAAGAAACATCAGATATCACTAATTTAACATATACACAGTATTCTTTTACATGCATCAGTTCATCCAGAAACATTTTTTATAACCGAGAAATCCCTGAGGACCAGTGCAGGTCATCCAGAAACTTAGATTTTGTGCGATTGTATTAGTACGTTTTTCAAATATAAGCATGTTCATTGACGTGCAAACTCAGGTCTCACTCTTTATATTCAATCCTATAACTTCTGAAAGGAACTACGCAGTTCATGAACTTAGTATCCTTTAAGTGAAATAACAAAGCAGGAATTGGCTCCTTTTCTAAGTGGAGAAGCATGGTTCATCTCTGGTTCCAACTAACCAAATGTTAACAAGATGTATGACTGAATTCATAATTGCAGTTCCTACAACTCCCATTAAAAGATCTTTGTTCAGTCAGTTTCCAACCATCTGTTATACCTAAGTGGTACCCCTTTTCAGCTAGCTAAAGGAATGTGTTACAGTGTTTGCTCTGACTGTTTCCCTTTAACTTTGAATGTTGCTTAAGACTAGAAGTGCTAAAAGCGGGGATATCTAGAAACAGGAAAACAGAAATAAAAGGGAAGTAGACGGGGTATCCCACAGGACGAATTGAGGAAGGGCAGTTAGAAGGCTAGAAAAGGGCTTAGTCGATTAAAGACATCTTGCAATTTTCCATTGGCAAGGGGAGAAAACCTCACTTGCTTTGCATGTGTTACAATCTTTGTCATTTTCCACTTTTCTCAGGGCTGGAAGAGCAGTCTTCTACAATCAGGTAGTACATATATATAATTATTTCAAAGATAAGTAGGCCTAGGGAAAAGAAAACTCACTAGATCCACAGCAAGTAACCCAATTTACAGTATGTAAATTACTTGACAAAATTTACTCCATTGTGATTTATATATTGAGAAATTGTATATACAACTATAATGATGCAGCAAAAGAACTATGCTGTGTGTATAAAGTTCCAAAACTTATGACTAGCCTGAAGAACTATTATGAGTAGATCACCGAGGAACAAGTCATAATGTTGAACAGAGAATACAGCTGCAATACAAAATAATTAAGCAGTAAACAATGATTACCATTAGCATATTGAGCACTCTATTCAATCTTCTCATCATTCTAACAAACAAAGCAATATGGTTCTATATAGGTTCCTTTACAAATAGAAAAAGTCAGAGTCACGCTCCTATCAGCAAATAATCATTATAAATCAATCAAGTATACTATAACTTAACTCAACCTTCTATCATAGGGAGCTCCATATCTGGCAACTTTATAATTCACTTGTGATGACAGGGAAGGAAAACGAGTGTAACTTTTCAGTTCAGCATCATAAGTCTAAATAGTACACACACATTTGGGTTCCACATGATCAAAAACAAATGATGAGAGCAATCGTCTAGATCTTCTAACTTCTATAGTTTACATAAGCACATAACATATACTATAACTTAGATAACCTTGGGCCAACAAGCAACGAAGGCAAGAAGATAGTGAAACAGGAAAACTAACCTGGTTTTCTCCGAAAGGAGCACAATTAAACCGAAGACGAAGAACATGAGAAGCATCCCAGCATGCTCAAAGTTATTCATATGAGTAGGATTCAAAACCCCATGAACTAAAAGTTTGAGGTGGGTTGAGTAGAAGAGCTCAATACAAAAATCAATAAAACCACCAATAGCTATAACATAAAGTTCCAAATATTTCAGCTTCCCATCAAAACCTGGAACAGGGTTCCAAACCCTTACCCTGAATGACTTGCGATTTGATGAATATCTAACCAGAGCACACCATATATGCCACACACCAACCACAAGAAACAGTGTTCCAGGTAGAACATGCCCAGGAAAAGAACCCATCTTTTCTTTTCTTGCACAACCAAGATAATATCTTCTTCAATAAACTTAAAAAACTATCAGAAAAACACTCTACCAAATAGCTTCAGCAAAATTCAAGATTGGCCCAATTCTTGAAACTTGTTCATTTCTTCAATACAATATGACCAAAAGAAAAAAAATTACACTTTTCTCATATGACCTGTTCTTTGTAATTGTGCTCTGTAAAACACTGAAATTTGCTCAAGAATCTAAGAAACAGCTA